TCAGCCAGTGAGGGCGCTGATCAGAAAATGAGGTTTGTTTTTTCTCAGTTTTAGACCAGACGCTATCTCCTTTTCATTGGTCATTTAATGACACACATAAGCTGTTTTTTCTGCAATTGGCCAGCCAGACTGATGCAATTGTAGTTTACTTCTAAACGATGTTTTATATCTCTCTGTGTATTTTTAATGGGTGAACCTATTTCTTTTCTTTTTCTCAACCTATTAACGGTTGTGTTCTTAAATTGTTAACTCTTACCTTCGGCTAAATCCAATTGACTTTTAAGAATCTGACATTGTATTTTGGGGGTCAGATTTCCTATAAAAGCTTGCAAAGGTGTCTTAAAATTTTATTTCAGACTAATTTTCTGGTAGGTATTCAGTTTTAGCACATACCATATTTTTAATTTAGTTCTCTTTCATTTTTTTCCTGTGTGAGTAACATTAACTTTTGTCTCTAGCTCTTTTAAGGAAGAAAAAGATATAAAGCCAATCATTAAAGATGAAAAAGGTATGATTTAACTTATGTGGCAGGGAGCCGCCTGTGGATCCCTTATTTCGGGAGGGAGGGGCCTACAGGTACCCACATTTGGGATCCAGTAGTTGGTTTGATTGAGGATTACCGGAAGTTCCATCTAGCAGTATCTTGAGAGACTAGATGTAAATGTTGGTGAGCTTCTGTGGTTTCTGTCTCTGTCGTGGGTGTCCTTTATGAGATACTGAAAGTCTGACTGCACTGCGTCCTATTCTCATCCTGTTCTGCCCATTATAATAATGGGACAAGGTTGTAGAAACTGCCATCTTGGGTGAGAATTGGGCACCAGTAGGCATTTCCATTTGTAACTGACGTGGACCTGAGGATTCCTTGAGTAAGGAAGCCGTTTCCGCAGTCCGTATTTTTGGTCTTCCGTGTGTTGGCAGTAATTACGTTCCTAAACCAGAAGAGTTGAAATTGGATGTGGCTGGGGTTTAAGAGAGGGCCACGTTCTGAGGCACGCCGTGCTTCCTGTTAGGCCTGGAGACAAAGCCTGATCCTTTCCCTCCTGCCCCAGGTCGTACCGGAAGCAGCTCTGGCAGGAACCTGTGGGTCAGTGGACTGTCCTCCACAACTCGAGCGACAGATCTGAAGAATCTATTCAACAAGTATGGAAAGGTACGTGCTCCCTTAACGTCCTGCCACCCAGTCTCTATTTGGCATTAAAAAATAAGCTCAGGGTTTGGGGAGTTCTTTTTTCTATCATTAATCTGGTCGGTGGTCTTTTTTGTTTTTTTGGGCTTGTATATTTCTACATGTGTGTGTACGTGCACACATACATGTGTATGGAAAACAGAACCCCACAAGGTAGTGGGCCTTGTTTCCCAGTTGAGAGTGGGGAACAGCCAACAGGTAGTTTGTTGTGTCACAGAAAATGTATGTAAATAGCTGCAGTCTAAACGTTGCTGTGGTTCATTCTAACTTGTCTTGAAGAAACTGCTGTTTTTGTGGTCCATATACAACTTAAAAGCTGGCATGCTGGAGTTTTTTCCTGAACAGTAAGTGACGAGTTAACTTTATATATTCCGGCGTTTTTAAACCTATAGTTCAAAAACTGGAACACGATAGTGGTTTAAAAATATATCAACTAATACGCTGTCCACAGGGGCGGGAAGAAAATAATACAATTTAGAAGCCTTCTGAGGACTCGAGAACATTTAAAACCGATTTTCATCATCCTGGAATTAGATAGTGAAGCAGTTTCATTTTAGGGCAGGAGGACTGCCCTGGTCTTGTGGGTGCCTGTGGGGAGTGGCCCTCCAGGGGGGGGAGCAGGTGTGGGGTTCCCCCCCCCACACACACACACACCCAGCATGGAGAAGCTGCCGGGAGTCCAGGCGGAGCTTCACAGATGTCCTGGATGCCCTGGGCCTGTCTTTGCTCAGGTCTGTGTCCCTGACTAGACGTCAGCAAATGTGTCAGTGACTTAAGTGGACAGGACCCAGAAGCAGTGTCTGTAAGGTGAATTTTTCTTCACAGTGAATGTCTTTCACAAGGGCTTCAAACTGACGCTGTAACCTATTCGTCGGTTATTTACTTGACTTAGACACCAATTATGAAGCCTAACAGCACATAGAAGGTCACGTCCTCATAGGTCTTAACAGTCTGATGGGGAAATCGTTGAAGAAGTAAATACAACAGGGGTGCTTGGGTGGCTTCAGCTCAGGTCATGATCTCACGGTTTGAGTTTGAGCCGTGCATCGGGCTGGGCTCTCTGCTGTTAGCACAGAATCCGCTTCAGATCCTCGGTCTGCCTCTCTCTGCCCCTCCCCTGCTTGCTTGCTCTCTCTGAAGAGTAAACATTGAAAAAAAAAAGTAAACATAGCCTAAACGATGGGTTTATTCAGGGAAGTTAACAGCATGCCATCAGCATTTGGGAGGGACACCAGATTTAGATGTGGGTCTGGGGTTTGGCGCACCTTGCCGAGTAAGTGCTGTTTAAGTGAGGCTTGGGTGATTCTGGAGTTGACCTTGCCCACAGGTCTCAGCTGTGGACTAGAGCAGTGGCACGGAGGCCCTGTGGTATTTTGGATCAACTAATCGGAGGCTGCTGTGGGGGGCAGAGGGCGAGGCCAGGGGACAGGGACAGGTGAGGTTGTCTTGGATTCTGCTCTCGTGGCCATCAGAAGCGATGTCCTTGCAAGGGTACTTAGTTTGGTGGGGAAGTCACGTGACCCCACAATTGGCTCGGCCCCTTGACCTTGAGAGTGAAGAATGGGAAATTCGTCTGAGAGAAGTGACATCTGTCCCCTTCAGAAAGTCCCCTTTGGCCCTGTGTGAGGTGCTCTGGACGGAGCGGGGCTCTCCTCTACTGGGAGAGCAGCGCTGCTCCACACCTGCGGGCAGGAACACAGACCCCCGAGTCTGCTGCGAACCTAGAGATGATGGAACGTTCCTCCACCCCACCCCCACCATCATCGCACAGGTGGGGACGTTGAGGTCCGGAGAGAGGAGAGGACTTGCTCACGTTGACCTGAATCAGGTGGTCGGGGCCAGACTCAGGGCTCTGCACTCGAGTAGGTGCGGGCTCTCCCCTCGGTTCTCTGCACATCCCATGGGAACATTCACGTGTAACATGAGCACGAGCATAGTGGAGTTTGAGTCTGCTATGGCTCTGTCTTCTCTCTGACCTATTTCTTGGCCTCCTTGCTTCTCTTGCTGCCTTTTGCATTGAGTGCTTTTTATGATTAGTTCTGCCCTAGCTGTAACTCGTGTATGGGACTAGTGTTACTGTGGCCTGGTTTCTGGAGGTTGTAAAATTTAGTTGTTTATTTGAGTTTTTCCTTGTTTCTTGATGTGGACTTCAATCACCGTGAACTTCACTCTTCACTGCTTTTGCTACATGCCATAATTATTGTGTGGTGTATTTACTTTTCGTTTGTTTCAAGGTATTTTTTTTTCTGACTCTTTTTTTTCACTTATTGGTTGAACTATAACATTTCTCTTTGGTAGCCGCATTTAGGAATTCTATTACAAGGTTCAACTTGGGGTGCCTGCGTGGCTCGGTCAGTTAAGTGTCTGACTCTTGATTTTGGCTCAGGTCACGATCTCACGGTTTGTACGATCCAGCCCCACATCAGGCTGTGTGCTGACAGTGCGGAGCCTGCTTAGGATTCTTTCTCCCTCTCCCCTGTGTGTATTCCCCCCTCACCCCTCTTAAAATACATAAATAAACTTAAAAAAAAAAAAAAAAAGACTCAATTTAGCCCAGTCTATCCCTTCAGTGATAATCTGGTTCCCTGGAGGTGTGCGAACGTTGTAACAGCGCACCGCCATTTTCCCTCCTAGCCTTTTTGGTCTTGCCATCGTGGTCTGTTTTCTATTTAATAACGCAGTACGTTATTGGCTTATTTACGTGTGTAATATGCTTTGTGCTTACACCTTAAAGAGGTACATAAATAAGAAAAAACAGGGACTTTTCAGTTACCTACGTGTGTATCTTTTGAGGTGCTCTTTATTCCCTTTTGTTGACATCCAAGTTCCTGTTGGGTATTATTTTATTCTATCTTTAAACCTTCCTTAAGGTACAGGCTTGCCAGTGATAATTTCCACTGCTCTTGTGGGTCTGGGAATGTCATTCTTTTGCCTTCGTTTGGAAAACTCTGTTTGCCGGGTGCCAAATTCCAGGTTCCTTGATTTTTTTTTTTTTTTTTTTTTTTTTTTTTTTTTTTTTTCTGGACAGCAGTGCTGCCTCCTTCCTTCCGGCTCATGTCATCTGACCTGTGGCTATGGGTCTCACCTTCGTTCGTTAGGGCACGGGTGTCTGTTTTCCTTTGGCTTACCTGTAAGATTCTCTTGATCACTGGCTTGGAGCGATTCGCTGCCACGAATATTCTGGGGTTTCATCCACTAAGTTTTTCCTGTGCTTCTTGCCTTTGATGACCCATGCGCTATAGTAAAGCCTGCTGTTGCTGTGGTTTGTTTTGGCGTGTTTTGTCTTTTTTCCTCCATTTATTTCGAGTAGCTTCTGTTGCTATGTTTTCAAGTTCCCTTACCTTTTTTCTGCAGGGTCTGCTGTCTGTCTCCTCTGATGTATTTTCCAGCTCCAAAATTCCGGGTTGGGTATTTTCAAATACCTTCTGTATGTTTACCCGGCATGTTGAGTGGTTTCTCCAGCTTCTTGAGGGTTTAGGATATAGCCAAAATAATTTTAACATCGTTGTTGACTAATTCTGTTATGGAGTCACTTCTGGGTCTTTCTCTATTGGTTGGTTTGTTTTCTTCATTAGAGTCCCTTTCTGCTTCTGGGCCTGCCTGGTTATTTTCGATCAGACGTCAGACGTTGTGATTTACATGTATTCTAGTTATTCGTATGTCCCTATAAACGTTCTTGAGCTTTTGCTGGGACACAGTTCACTTATTTATTCCTCAGATTTGCTGTCTGGCTTTGTTAGGTCAGAGCAGGTTGGTTAGGTTAGTTCGGCTCGGGGGGCGGCACCCTTCTGGCTTCTCAGCCTCGTGCCCCGTGAATTGCAAGCTTTTCCATTCCAGCTGCTGGGTTCACTCTGGAAAAAGTGAATCGTTTGAGGCCCTGATCAGCCCAGCCGTGGGGATTGCTTGCTCTCTTCTTACGGGTGGTTCTCTCGCCCCTGGCCGCCCGTGGGCTCCTCACAGGTGTGTGGCACCCCGCAGCGGTCTTTATGCGGCGCTGCCCTTGTCGATACTGGGCTCTCGCTGCCTCGATTGTTTCAGACGTTGACTTGTGTGCCGCTCCGGGATACCGCCCCTCACCCCTCCGCAGGCCGTCGCCCCTCTCTGCCCGTGGCCAGGTACTTCTGGGAAGTGAGCCCAGGCACCCATACGGCTCCGCGTGTCCTCTCTTGCAGGTCACCATCCCATGTGGCCTGGTGTGCGGCGTCCGAAAACCCTTGTTGCCTGTTTTTCCTCTAGTTTTCTAGTTTCAGGCAGCCGGAGGGTAATTACTTGGTGCGCCAGCCTGTCTGGAAGTAGAAGTCCAGTTGGAGAAAATGATCCAAGTGGGAAGGACTTTTGATTAATTAATGAGTTGTGGTTGGTGAAGTTTAAATGTCTTTAGCTTTTCCTGTTTGTTTTTTGTCACTCCGAGGGCCGATCTTGCATCGAAAACAATTGTATTTTGATGGGATGGATTAGAACCACTTGCGTAACTAGTCCTGGAGAACCACCGATTTGTGGAGAAGTAAAAAGTAGTGGAAGTAATTCCGATGATCAATTAACTGCTCATCAGTTTTGACAGATTGTGTGGTGATCTGTGCGGGAGAATAAGCGTGCCCTTTCTCGTGAAGGTTGTCGGGGCCAAAGTGGTGACCAACGCCCGCAGTCCTGGAGCTCGGTGCTATGGGTTTGTCACCATGTCGACATCTGATGAGGCTACAAAGTGCATCAGCCATCTCCACAGAACTGAGCTTCACGGAAGAATGATCTCCGTCGAGAAGGTGAGGCCGTTCTTGCCTGCCGTAACCCACGGAGCCGACAAGCGAGAAGACCTGGACCGTGAGCCATTTCTATCCGTCTTGTGTTTTAGGCCAAAAATGAACCGGCTGGGAAAAAGCTGTCCGACAGAAAAGAGTGTGAAGTGAAGAAGGAAAAACTAACTAGTGTTGACAGACATCATCCCGTGGAGATCAAAATTGAAAAGTAAAGTGGTGATTTCAAACCTTTCTCAGGGCGCCCGGGGGTCTCAGTCAGTGGGGCGTCCGACTCTTGATCTCAGCTCAGGTCTTGATCTCACGGTTGTGAGTGGAAGCCCTGCGTTGCCTTTCTCTTAACTTTTCTCTTGGGAGTGGGCGGGAAGAGGGCAGGTGACAGCCACAGGGTCATTCCTCCTCTCCAAGGACAGCCTGCCTCTCCAGCTTCTCACTGAAGTGTCCGATTTGTGCATCTTGCTGCCACTTGAGTGTTGTTTCTGTAAAGCTGTGGAGTGAAGTAACGCGTAACTATAAGAAATGTGTTCGGAGGATCCTTAATAAGCGTTTGTGTCTAAACAACTTAGTAATCTGTTGGGAAAAAAAATGACACGCAAAATGGAAGAATAATAATTTTGTAATTTTTTTAAGTTTGTTTATTTTGAGAAACAGAGACCGTGCCAGTGAGGGAAGGGCGGGGGGGGGGGCGGGG